GCAGTTTTCTAATCCATTCATCTGCTGATGGGCACTTAGGCTGTTTCCAGATCTTCGCTATGGTAAATTGTGCTGCTATGAACATAGGGTACGTATATTCTTCCTGATTGGTGTTTCTGATTTCTTGGGATATATTCCTAGAAGTGGGATCACTGGGTCAAATGGGAGTTCCATTTTTAGTTTTTTGAGGAAACTTTATACTGTCTTCCATAGTGGCTGCACCAGTCTGCATTCCCACCAGCAGTGCACGAATGTTCCCTTTTCTTCGCATCCTCTCCAGCACTTGTTGTTTGTTGATTTGTTGATGATAGCCATTCTGACAGGTGTGAGATGATACCTCATTGTTGTTTTGATTTGCATCTCTCAGATGATTAGTGACTTTGAGCATGTTTTCCTATGTCTCTTGGCTTTCTGAATGTCCTCTTTTGAAAAGTGTCTATTTAGGTCCTTTGCCCATTTTTTGATTGGATTGTTATCTCCCTTTTGTTAAGTTGTATGAGTTCCCTATAAATGTTGGAGATTAAACCCTTATCAGTGTTAACACTGGCAAATATGTTCTCCCATGTAGTGGGCTTTCTTGTTGTATTTATTTATTTATTATATGGGGTAAAACTTAAGCATGTCTGCAAGCTATGGTGAAAGAACCAACGGAGAAAGATCTAAGATATAAAACTGAAGAAATAAATTGATTAGGTAGGTCTCCTAGGTGGTGAAAGTGAAAGAATATAGATAGGTGATATTTTCCTCATAAAGGTGAATATGTATACTTCTGAAACTGGGTGAGAATGGAGAAACTGATGAATGTTACCTAAGATGATATAGCTAAGTTTAGAAATGGTGGGCGGGAAGTTGAAAGAATCTACACCACACATAACTACTTTTTTTTTTTGAAGTAGAGTAGGAAAATAATTGTCTGCTAGGAATGGCTGTTCAGGAATGGGGTAAGAAATCCCAGCAGTCACTAAGATAAATGAAGCAAAGCTAATGAGTAAATATACCTGCTAGAAATGAATCTGTTTTGCCATAGACCTTGACCCTGGAATGAAAAACTGGAGCTTCAAACTGAATTGGGTTAGAATTAAGGTAAAAAAAGAAAAAAGAGGGTTTAGTTAGATCTCTCCTCAATAAAGATCAAACAAGGTCTGGGGTAAAGTGGGGTGTCTCCAGAGTGTCTAGTTCTGACTCAAATTAATAGCCTCTAAATTGTAATGTGGCCTTACAAGAAGTGCACTGGTTGAGCTAGAATTATAGGGGGAAGGGCAGTTTAAATTGAGTAACATCCAGTATTAAGGCCTTATTAAGCACTGAAAATATATTAAATACCAGTGAAGGATTAAAAACAACAAAATCCCTGCTACCTAGTAACTGCATTTTATATTATTAAGAGGCATAGAATCTGAAATTCATCTCTATGTCCAGGAAGGCCTTGCAAAGTGCATGAAAAATAGCAAGAGGGCTCATATGTGGCTTGAAACAGGTAAAAACATTTTGATAGACCTTGCACTTGCCCAATTCCCTGCCTTTTCTTTTAATCCATCAGTGTGACACATATTGAAATATGCATAAATATTTTCAATCCCTGGGTTGACCAGATATGGAGTCATATACAACTCCTCCATGGGTATGGAAGAAAGTAGAGGAGGGTATCAACTCTAATTCCTGCCTTAATTCCACATAACCACAGAAGGGAAATCCAGGTTCTATTGTTTAATATAGGTCTGTCAGAATCAAATATCCTGGGTGCTCTGTACTTTTAGTTTAGTATTACAATGAGTTTAGCAAAATTGATTCTACACTATTGTTCTTCTTCTTTTATCAAAGAAAATAAAGCTGTACAAGTGAAAGTAACTTCATGGCAGCCCAAGTGCACTCTATTGGGCACAAGATATAAAAATATAGAATTTTAAAATCTTGTATAAATAGTTATGAGAGCAAAACCTAAAAGTTAGGTTAATGGCTTTATAAAAATTGTGTCACAAAAATATCATTAATGTATTAAAAGCAATGCCTATACTAGCCATAGTTGAATCAACATTAAGGAATACACACAGTTTTAATAATATGAGTGATAATTTTGGATTCAGAATATTTATTGATTTGGGGAAAGACACGTATTTTTCATATTTAGAACCTAACTTTTCAAATCTTCATTAACAATTCAGTGGCAAAGATAAAACATCTGCCAAAATACAGATGACACCATGAGCAAATGTCCTAATAGCAGACATTTCGTTTAGTGCTTTAACACACTGCCTTTAAACCGCTGGGGCAGCCCCATAAATAAGGACTTTTAAATAGGCGGTTACTTCCTCCAAATAGAAATATGTGTTTAAAAGTAATATATTTTTAGGAGAAAAGAAAACATCTTATTGAGAGCAAGCCAAATTATTACTATGCTTAGACAATAAACTTGTTTTTTAATCATGTATACCCTTGATTTTAAAAATTCACTTCGAAAAATCATTCAACTACTGACAGTTCATATACCTACTCATTATTTGAGTAAGGTTTTATTTACCAGTTTTTGAATTCCACTGAAAATGTTGATGTGCTTTCAAATAAAGTATAATTTGACATGTGGGGCATGGGGGATGGATGGAACACATAAGAATTCATTCTACATCTTGTAAACCAATACAGGGTGTTATATAGTTTGGCTGTAATTAGATGGAATGGGCATTTTAGATAACTTATTTTACTGCAAAGGTCAACTGAAACTTTAGTAGCTACCAGCAAATGGCATTTGATCATTAGTCATTTGTAAATGAATCTGAAAGTGTTGTGTAGGAAATTAAATGATTTGCTGGGGCATGGCCTGCTCTGAACAAGGGTTAGACCAAATTTCTCTTCAGACCTCCTCTCTAAGGGCAGCACAGACTGACAGTTGGCAGTTTGGAGCCAGCATGTATTGGGCCCAAGCTCAGAGGAAAAGGACATGACCTCAATGCCAATGTGACCTTCCTGGAACTCTGGA